ACCCCTAGACAAGGAGCGAATTCAAGCATTCGGATACATATTTTCTCATTGAAATTTCACGCGGAACACGATTTTTACGACGAACAGTACTGAAAGTATCTCTTGACAAAGATATTCAATATTTTTCGGTGCATTCCTGATCCTGAAAAAACCATTCTTCACTCGAGTTAAATCGCAACTAAACGTTACACCGTGACAGTCATTACGGTAAAAAATATGCCAACCGTAATATCGACGCTTCCAGTGGCGTGCTTTGCGATATATCGATTGTTATGCCATTTAAACCTATGGAAAAGGATCGATAAACAGGGTGTTCGCAGCGAACACCTTAATAATCGATTTCTTACCATAGGTTTAAATGGCAAAACAATCGATACATCGCAATTCACGCCACGCCACTGGACGCTTCGACTCACAATCAGCTACATGTATTGCACATTATTTATTTTTTGAATTGAATGGCATAGGGTTGGGAAGGTATACTGCTTCTTGAAATGCTTGCTTTGTGAGCGGGAAATTCAAATTTTTCATGACTAATTATGAGGATCGCGTTCAGCAGAAAGGAATGAGGCTACATCGGTTAATGCCAAAGAGCCGTATGCAAAAACGACATTTTTCGCCCCCCCACTAAAACTTATTCAAACTTCGTCTATCAGTTACTAATACTGGAGCGCTTCTTTCCCCAAATTTTCAGACCCCCAAAAAATTTTGGGGGGGCGCTAGGGGGGGTGGAAGTCAAAACCTGTGACCCTCGATATCTTTCGAACGAAACAAGATATTGAGGCCCGGTTTGGACGAAAAANGTTAATGCCAAATTTATTTGGGCAATATAATTTTTCACAAGAAAACGGTTGGATGGATTTTTGTGCCAATTTCAGTGGAATTTTTGCATAGTATGAGGCCGAAGGTTTTGACCACCCACGTCCATTTTCTGGCGAAAAAGTTTAGTTCTAGCGTAAGATGAGTCGCCTTTTTTAAGCCATTTTAAATAATGATGAGAAACAGGAAAATTCTAAAGTTTTTTTTTTTTTTTTAAACTATGAGCGCAAAGTTTGACATCGACGAAAATTGGCCAAAGTGACTTTCTTACATCCCTAATGAGCACCCATGGAGGACTTTTTGCTTCACCGAAGCGATCGTTGTGAAACAGCTCGTCGAATGTCGAAAAACCCGCATTTTTCGCCAAAATTGGCCTTCGGACCCATGTTTAGGCCACCGATAGACCCCGAAATAGACCAGAAATGACCAAAAATTGCGTAGTTGAGGAATTTCAGGTTGGGCCAAAAAAAAAGGCCCTTAACGATACCCTTCCTTTCTTAAAATTTTCGAAGTAATCTGACAAACGTTCCTTCGTAAAAAATTAGAAAACCTAGTTAGACTTGGCAATAGCTGAGGTCGCTTGGGTTCCTTTCTGCTGAACACGGCCGATATAAAAACATTGATGTTGGTCCAGTTCCGCAAATCGTGCTGTACGTGACGTTTTTAAAAATGAACATATCATAATGCTGAGTCTCATACCTAGTCTAATGGTCCATTGAGTAAATTCCCTGTATATTCTTGATCGCTAGGAACTCTGGCGACTCCTGACAAATTGACAAACGGTCATATTTCAGCTTCACGTAGTCTTGATTGTCCCTGGAGCCAAGGCGGTAAACTCAGCTAAACGTTCGATAGCTTCAGTCGCAACATTGGAAGCTTCGCTCTAACTTCCGGCATTGTAAAGCTGGGGCGCTAAGCGCGTTGACAGCGCAATGCGACTGGCTTCGCGTCGCGTCGGACAATGGAACGAGGCAATTGGAGAAGTCGGACAAATTTTGGAAACTTTTAACGCTCGTAACTCCGTTAAAACAAAACTTTGGGGTTTTAAAATTGGTTCCGTTGGTTTCCTCGTGAAAGTTTCTGCAGTTAACACCCATTGAAATTTAAAATGTGACAAAATAATCATCCGAATTTGAAGTTATAGTTAAAAATTTCATGTCCGATCTCTCTGATTGACTCGATCCACTGTGCGTCGTGTCATTGGTACTGACGCGCGTAAAACGGACGTAGACCTGCCTCGGTCCACCGACATGACAAGCACTAGGTCTCCGTAGTGCTTCACACTCACAATCAATTCGCCATCCGCGAAATCCCGTGGCCGCATCAGACCACGAATCGTGCCGCCAGATAGTATCGAGAAATCGGAGGATTGACATTCTGTGATCATTGGGGTCGTTTGAGTACGACTCGATACGTTTTGACCAACTCAGGGTTGCCACAGAATTTAGAAAATGAAATTCCCTGAAATTTCCCTGATTTCCCGGACAAATTTTGGTGAAATTCTTTGACAATTGAAGATGTGACAGGTGTTTAAGAAGACATACTTGAAACTAGTATTCAGGCAAAATTTTTTGTTCGAAACCTTATGCCGCAATCACACGCTGAATTTAGCAAATTCGAGTTATTTTCATCCAGATGTGTATCAAATCTACTCGAATAGTTCAGACTAATTCAACATTAGTCCGATGGTTGCTGAGAATCGTTGCTGAATTTGCGCGTCACGCGCAAAATTCAGGCGCAACTGACTCATTACGCCATGCTGGCCCGGCTCTTCACTGACGTTTTGGACATTGACAGAGTGAAGTAAAATTTGTAAAATAGCTGAAAAAACTTGTTATCAAAGGAAAAATGTGAATTACTTCTCTTCTTTGAGGGGAGGAGGGGGATCTGCGTGAGGCTACGCTTGACCCCTTCCCCTCCGTGGGTGGGTGGCTCAAGTAATACGTGAGTCAGTCACATTTCTGACGTTTGGCACGTCTGAAAGCAGCTGTACTCCGTCAACGATGGGGTTTTTCCGAGCACGTATCGGCAAGAACGTTGACCAAGGGTGCAGAAAGTTCTTCGGCCCACGCAGTTTCGAGCATTTTGGGATCAACTTACGCGCACCATGACATTGCGCGATCGCAGAAATTTTGTGAAAATTATACGCGGTCGGATTGATTTTCTGAAAATGTAATGCTTCCGCAGTCAATTTCTCAAAAATTAACGGTTCCGCACTAAGTTGGTAAATATATCAACACACTTGTCAAAAGTGTCCGTAAAAATCAGTGCGTTGAGCGTTTACTCTTTAGAATAAAACCGAATAATCGCACGTCGCGTCGGTTCATGAAACCGAACTTCTTTCATCAGTTCTTCTGATCTCCTTAGTTCGGTTACACGAAACTGAGAGTTGGGTTTGATGGACCGGTGGTTGAGTAATATACATCACCATGTTCTCCTTCAGCAGGGTGTCTACTAAAACAGGCTGGTCAAAAATAAGTACTTTTACAGTATTTTTTCAGTACATTCTAAAAAATGCAGTACCTCCTCCAACAGAAAAATTCCGTACTTTTTCAGTACTTCCATTTGACGGAATTAGAAAAATTTCAAAAATTTGAAATTGCGACAAAAATGACAAAAAATTTAGAAAAATTACGGACCTTTTTGCGGAATTACCGCACTTTCTCAATACTTCCGGACAGCTCTTAAAAAATCAGTACTATTTCCGAACTTTCCGGAAATTTCGGACATGTAGACACCCTTTTCATGATGTGGATATGCAATTTTAACTTCTTAGAATCCAAAATATTCATCAAAAGTTAACCCCCCACCCCCAATTAAAATTTTCAACTGTGCGTTAAGGTCTCTGAGTCAGCAGGAAAGAGACCATGCTCTTTTTCACTGTTGTGGATATGAGGATTGAGGATATACTAGCAAGATGGTGAGGTTATCATAATATAAAAATTAAAGACGTTCGAGTTATCAGTGTTGCCACCGACTTTAGTGTACCCTAACCTAAGCATCCGTACGGGCCGCGCTTTAGAAATTCCCGACTGGAGTCGATCCATATTCGGACGATCTGAAAAGCTTGTCGCGTAATTTTCGGGGAAATTCAATCGGCATCACTACACGGATGGGGTTCATGTCGGATGAACATGGAACGCAGCTGCGCGACTCAAGACGACTCGGCTCCGATGCATATTTCATGCGGATGCCCGGATTGGCGGGTGGCCTTGTCCTTGACAATCGCGCTCCTCCCCCCCCCCCCCCCCCCC